TTAAAACATACTTAGTACTATTGGCTTTAAGTTGGTGTATGCAATATTTAATTTCAAAATTAAGAAGTTCAGAAGTTCTGAAATGGAACAAAGACAAAATCACCCTTTCCAGATTGTACTTTCCAAATTGGAAATAGCAAAGGAACTCTAGATATTGTTTTAGGATGGTTCTATACTTAGTCTTATGATGGATCCATTCAGTGGTTTTGTTTTTAATCAGAGATACTTATATGCTTTCCTCAGCATACTTTCCTGGACATCACATAATTTTGTGCATATGTACATAATATCTGTCTATTTTAGAAAACTGTTATTTCAGTCTTCCTGATGGGAAATTGAGGCACAGAGAGACAAAGGGACTTTTCTGAGATCTCAAAGGATTTAGGAGTTAGAGCAGGCTAACAGATCTAGAATTTATGGTTAATTTCTAAAGCACTCTCCAGCTTTCCTTTGGATAAATCAGTGCCAGCAATGAATTAAACTGCTTAATGTTTACTTGAAAATCAAGCCAAACATTATTAATTTAATTTGGCGAGTAAAAGAAACCCCAGCAACCCAGAGTATGTCTGGAATTAACTTTATTTTGATGTGTATTTTGTGGAAAGGAAGATCAAGATTGTTATTTTTTTCCCATCAGAAACATCTGTGTACTTTGCCAATATCTGCCTTGGCAGTACTTTACTAATAATGTATATATTTTGCCTTTTAGAAAACAGTTTTCCCAAGGCTGAGAAAAACTGTGAGCAAAATTATGTCAGGAGACACTTACACATGAAAATATGAAATATAATTCAGATTTGATTAATTCAGTGTGAAAAGATACACTACTTTGCAATTCTTAACAGACATCTTTAACCTAAAAATATTCTATTGGTCGAGGGGAAAATAAAGGCAAAATAAAAATTCACACAACTAAAAACAAGAGTAATAGCAATGAATTTAAAACTGACTCAGGGGAAATATGGACAATTGATACAGGAAGCTGAAAATATCTTTAAAAAACTACAGAGGATGGAGGGAAATAAGAAACAATACATGAAGTATATAAAGAAAAAGTGAGATCTTAGTAATGGTTTATATCCTGTTCTCAGCAAGGATAGTAAAAACATGGATCACAATGTGCAAAAGGCAGATTTGCTCATTCATATCTATTTTGTCAGAAAAGGCAGGAAGATCTATTTCTACCTTAAAGCTAATGAAAAGTATTTTATACCTCATCAGTAGCTAGAAATAATGCTGAACGATTTTTTTTTTCCAAATGGGCAGGATCAGACAATAGATTTGATGCAAGCTAAGGTAGTTTATTTCAGCATACTAATACTTTTATTAAATTACAGAATGCTGGGGAAATTGAAGAAAACTTAATTAATTAAAATATTTAAAAAGAAAAATCTGTTAAAAATCATGCAAAAGACAGACTAAAATGGAGGTATTAAAGAAAAAAGTGTAGGTGAGGTATAGTCACAGAGGGGAAAGTATTTATAGGATGGTCCTGTGAAGATCTGTTCTTTCTCAAATGCCATGCAGCATCTTTAGCAAAGTCTGGAAAATGTGAGATTATCAATAGAAAAATTTAAAAGTGACAAAATCATTTTATGAACAATTCATAATGATGAAAAAATGAGCTAGTCTGGAGTGCTCATTGCAATAAATTCATTAAAACACACTATTTTTGTGTGCTCAAAACAGGCTAAAGGAAAAAGAATTTACATAGCAACTATTATTGGGAAATCTGAGTCCTCTAGAAAAGATTTAAATGCTAATTTGAAGGTAAGCTACAAGAAGAAAGCTGTGATTTAAATGTAAGATGCAATCCTTTTATGGAAGGAGATGGTGCTACTCCATCTGTGTATGTCATTAGTGAGAACATTCCTGGAATACTCTGTCCAGTTCTAGCATTTATGCTTTGTCAAGGACCTTTGCAAGCTAGAAGGGGCTCAGAAGAAAACTGCAAGAAAGGTATGAGGTCTGGGAAATGTGCTTCATCCTGAGACACTGAAGAAACTCCATTTACTCTGGGCTAGAAGGAGACTTCACCATAAGCCATTCATGGAAATTATGTTCTTGACCAGTTTTTTTACAAATGAAGTCTAACAAGGTATTTTTAATTATTTTTTAATTTTTTTTTTGCTATTGTTGTAACTTGATCATAATCAATGTTACAGATGGAACTGCTAGAAATTTAATTTTGACAGTTCTGAGCTGAAAACAGAACACAAATATCAAGTGATAGTAGCTAATGTTTGGAACAAGTTCTTACACAGCAATGTGCTGAATTTTACATCTGTTGAATTGAGATGTAACACATCTCCCAGAAAGACACCCAGTGTAGAACAGATAGTGCAGCTGATGTAGAAATTGCTGTGCCTTGGTCTATAGTTTGTGTAGCAGGTCGAGTTAGAAGACCAAAAGGTACCTCATGGGTATAAAATCAGCCTGGAAAAAGTAGCTAGGGTATACATGGGAGTGAAAAGAAAATCACACATGTACTATAAATACCAGTATCAAAATAAAAAAAAAGCACAATGAAATGAGAAAATTATGTTAAATAACAGAATAAAGTATCACTGGTTTTAATGCTTTGCTAGCAATTAAAAGACTGTATTTCTGAAACTTAACCTGTCCTTAACTTCCTTACTCTGTACAATGAAAGTAATTTTTACTAAGTACAGTACTGTCTAGTTTGCTGTGCAGTTTGTACAGATGACTGAGTTTGAACTAAGTTTAAAGTAAGTAAATAAAACACAGTGAAAACTACAAAAATTACAGAGTTTTATATGTGGTTGTATGTACCAAGGAGGCACAGAAAGTTTTACTTCAGCTATTCTAAAAAGAGCTGGAGTGCAGATGAGTCTGAGAGGAAAAAAACTTCTACAAATGTATCACATATGTGTTTATGATCTTCTGTCCTTCTTAACACAGGTTCTCCACAGGCACTTCAGTCTACTCCGCTGCTAAATGTGTATATTAACAGTTACAACAGAGCAAGGAAAGACTACAGGTATTAACACTTTGAGGTTTGGTTTTCTTATTTTGGTTAGTTGGTGGGTTTTAGGTTTTGGTTTTGGATTTTTTATTAGTTTGGTTGGTTTTGTTTTGTTGGTTTGGTTTGTTTTGGTTTTTCCCAAACAGAAAGAATTTAGGTCTGTGATGAGAAAGTGCCTTATAAAGCAGCAATGGCACATGTATTAATTTAAGAAACATAAATCCTCTAGTGTCATCTAACAATCTTTGGGAAGGCCCATAGATTCAAATGTGCATTATATTTTGTGCTCCACACATATGGGCCAAAATACATCTGTTGGCTCAAATCTGCATATAATGTTATCTGATGCATTATCTTTACTGAAACAGGAAGGCTTCTCTCCAGTGGCCTAAACCATATATGGTTTTATGCTCTGCTTCATTTTGAGAAAACGCCCCTGTTTATATTTCAAGCCCACTTTTTAAAACACATATGTTCTTCTTGGACTGATTACAAAAATGACTGCTTGACAATCTTCATTACAAACACTTTATTGCTTCAACAATGACGAATTGAAGGCTTCTTCAAGTAGGCAGTCATTTCACAATACTTTACCTGAGAGTTTTGGCCATTTATATTGCTTGGTCTTTTCTCTGTTTCCTCTTATGCTTCTTCTGACAGTGTTTAGTATTTGTTAAACTTTCTCTTCTAGTCACAATATGTTTTGAGCTTGGAAACATTCCAGATGGAAAAAACAGGCTTTCTGTGAGCTTTGATAAATTATTTCATTAATCCCGAAAATGTACCAATTTCAGTTCTAAATACAGGGACTATGTGATTTTGTTTATTTGTTTACTTACTCTGGTTTTACATCCTTATAATTTATTCTGCACAGATTTTGTTCATTTTTTACACAGTTTTAGCCTCATACAGGAAGTCTTTATGGATTTCATCTATATCATTAGAAAATACTGGGGGTGAGAACATCTGGAAATAAACTGTATGACCCACTTTAGCATACTTTGCACTGTGAAAGCTTGTATATTATTTCAATGGCCCCTGGAGCTGCTGTTCTGGACAGTTTTGCTCAGCCTGCACCTCAAAATGATTCACATCTTCTACCCTTTGCTCCCCTAGAATAACTTCGAAACGTTGAAGATGTGAGAGAGGATTGTGAGCATATTAATGTGTAGATTGCATTTGGTTAAAGATTATTTTTGCAGTATAGCCTGTATTCTTCCATTTCAAGGCTCCCAGTGCAACCACAAAGAAATTGCTTCCTTGTCTCAGCAGGAGAGTCACGATGTATCTCGCTTGTTGCTGCTGCGCGGTGCTTTAAAGGCGTCTGGGTTGAATCATTCATTGGTGCAGCCGTTCACACACGGCTGAGTGAATGGAGCAGTGAGCTAATGAATGAACATTCCTACTTAAAACAGACATATATATCTTTCAAGTTGGATTCCTTCATCTCGGTGGCACACCTCAGCCCATTGGTTCAGTCCAAAGTAAATCCATAACATGTCATAGCTGGACAGACCTCTGATGAGATTCTTTTCAACAAGTTAGCATACTGTTAAGCCATTATTTTCAAAGTCTCTAACACAGAAGTCCCTTGTTGAACAACTTTGCTTTATTTGGCCAACTGTGTGAAGGCACGTTTGAGTGGTATTTTAAATTCCCAATTCATGAATAATATTCCAACACAAATGTAAATCTTCGTAAGCATTGAACTGCTGCTGTGCATTCTAATAACATATGGAAGATAATATTTTGCCCATTCTTAATTACTTAATTAAAATAATTTCTGCAAGAACTTTATGTAGCAATATATAGTTGTTTGGGGTGGTTTCTTAATAAATTTGTGTTTGCAGAATAAGTCATGGGAAGGGATTTTTACTGACTTGTCAATAGTGGTGAGTCTTAAAGCAATAACTTCAGTAACAAGACGCTATATTCATTCCCAGTTGGACAGAGTCTTGAAGAGGACAGCGAGGCAGTGGTGTGAGCTGCTGGCAGGACACGTCTGGGGATCTCCTGGCTGTGCTCTGGAGAGGAAACCAAGGAGAGTGTTGGTTGGCTCACTGAGCCTCCTGGCTGAATCTAACCTGTCACATTTTTAAAACACCCAAGCAACTGTGGGTGTCTTTTAGAGGAAGTAATTGCTGTTAGCATTCTTTTCCTATTGCCTTCTGACCATCTCAATACTTTCTTAAGGTGTTGCTTTAACAGGAATGTGAACTGTATGTAGGCCTGAAGAAAATTAACAGTGACTCAGAAAATGAAATTTATCTGGAAAAACCACATTCCTTAGGAATACAGTATCATGGAGACTTGATTATTTCTTCTTGTGGAAGGGGCCAAGGTGTTTTATGATACCATACAGTTGTAGCTGAGATTGGCCTGTAGCCCAATCAACTACTCATTCCTTTCTGGTATATTTCTGTATTGGACTTGTGCTGAAATGCCCACAGGAGATTTGGGTAACTCTCTACAAATGCTTTTGCAAGTAGTGAGTGTTAATATAATTTAAAAAATCTGTTGTTTTCCCACCCCTCTCCTTCTCTTCACCTCTCTTTGTGAAAAAGGTAAATCATTCAGGGGTTGCTTTCAGCATAAACCAGTTTGTTGAATTTTCAGGAAGGGCTGCAGTTCCTCTGTGCACATGATGCTTTCTAATACATCACAGACTTCTTAAAAAAAAAACAACCTATAAAAAACATACATGAAACAAACAAACAACAAACAAAAATACTTTCAAAATATCCACACAGGAAAATGCTATGTAGCTAAGCAGGTTAGTACAATTCTACAAGAAACTTGTGGACCAGATTATGCTCACTGAATTGTGGATATTCTTTTTAAAAAATGAGGGAATAAGATTTCTTCATTCTTCTACCACCACAAGTTGAAAAACCTAGACATATTTAGCCGTCAGCTGCCTAAGGAAATGTCACTTACCAATGTTTAGGATGATAGATTGCATCCTTTAGATGTGCCATTCTCTCTCCTTCCTCTCTAAGGAGATCCATTCTCAATTTTTTACCCTTAAAACCTAAAAGAATCATAACAAAAGCTTCTCACTTAATTAATCACTTCCACTTCCTCCATTTTGGGAGCATTTACATAGCATAAAATGTGGTGCTTGTGGCACTCTGCTATTTCCTCACATGTGAGCTTAGAATCAGCTATGCTGGTCAGACAAGCAGAACTGCTTTTAAAAAAATTTTAAAGTAAAATCCTGTCTCAGCTGCTCTTAGAAGAAACACTTATGTGAAAAGAATTTGCCCCTTTCTCCCACATATAAAATTACTTCTAAAATGTTGAAACAACTTTTGGATTATCAGCATTCAAAGGTAAATGAGACTAAGAAAAATGAGAAGTCTAAGTCACCAACTTCCTATAATCTCACATCAAAAGGTCTGAAATATTCAAGATTATTCACAAATAAAAAAATGAATATTGGGAATCATGTAATGCCCAAGATTAACAGAATAGTGGTGAAAACAACTCAAACCCATCCTGACCAGCTCTCAGTCATGGAAATCAACACTGAGATTGAGGTTTCTCCTGGGAAGCTTTTCCCAGTGTCCTACACTGCTGGGGACAGTCCCTAGTCTGGGTTAGAGCACCAGTCCTAGGGTATTCCTTCTTATGTGCAATGTCAATATTTGGAAGCTGACCCTTTCAGGGCCTTCAGTCTTACAGCACTGCTGTCTCTTCTGCAATGGCAGCTAGATTCAGTGTGAACTAGACTAGACATATACATTTCTTTTTAATAGTTTATGAGTATCATCCAGAATAAGAAATATGCCTTTAAGCCATCTGAGCTGGGTCAGAGTAGCTCTGGAGGTGCAGCATTATGGGAATAAACTCACATTCCTCCTGGATTTAAAGCAGCCATAGAAGTGATACAGATCACAGAATATTCTGAGTTAGAAGGGACCCACAAGGGTCATCAAGTTCAGCTCTTCAGTGAACAGCCCATATAGGAACTGAATTTACAATCTTTGCTTTATGGGCACCATGCTTTAAAAAATTGAGCTAATCCTACTCTACCATATCAGTGTTCACCTGTGATGTACCTGGACTAACAACTTAACTCTTCCTGAGAGATATCCAGTACCATTTCTGCCCAGGGAGAAACAGCACTGCAGAGATTCTGCAGGTCAGTAACACACCACTGCAAATGGACATCAAGAGACAGAAGTTCAAGAAGAAGGGAAGAAAAAAGACCAAACAAACACATCTGGTATTTAAAAAAAAAACTGCTCAGACACCAACATTGTGACTCAGGGACTATCATTCACAGTGTTGTCTCACGTTTAATAATCACTGCTTATAGATATGAGTTTAGCTGGTGACCTTGGCAAACTTCTAGCATCCAACAGCTTCTGTTGCTCCATTTGTATGAAGAGCTACCACTCTCAGTTCATTTAAAAGCTGGTACCTACTCCCTTTATTTGAGTCTCACTAGTTCTTAAAGTGGAGAAGAAAATGTCATTCCTTATTTACCCTTATTACACCACAGGCATTAATTATAATGCTTTGTTTTGAGACCTCCTTTCAGTTTTAGAATTAGCCATTTAACTGTCCTGTCTCTTCAGCTAATTAAGATCTGAAGATCTTGTTTCTTATCACAAGCTGTTTAGGTTTTTTTGGGTTTTTTTAAGAATTTTAGTGAAAGATCTTTTGAAGAAGCAAGCTCTTTTTCCTTTTATTTAAGGAATCCCCTCTGTCATTTCAGCTTATTTATCCACTAACTTTACTGTTTATTTAAACTTTTACTCATTTTCTGCAGAACCAATGTATTGACCTGCCTAGAACTAGAGGTCTCTTATTTCAAGGTATTTGGTATCATTTTATCTGCCTTGTTTTCCATCAGAACAAAAGAATTTTTAAGAGGAGGCATTGAACTGGGCTAATACAGATTTAAGTCCTATTAACATGAAGAAAAGGGAATTGAACACACTTCTCACCTGGCATGAATTGCACCCCTGATTTTATATAGGAGTGTGGGTCCACCTTCAGTTTTTGAATCATACCCCTTGTTTCTTTAGATTTCTTTTACATATCCATGAAAAAATGCTGTTTTAATTTAATGCTATGTACATTCCTTTCCATTAAAAAAAAGTATTTTGATTCAAATAGAATAAATTGTGTTTTTCAGGTGTGAGGAAATTTTCTTCTTTGTCTTGAAAAAGAAAAATCTCTATTTGCACAGAGCAGATATTTTTCAGGAAATAGCTTATGATATTTTATTTTGTTCTGAATATGTATTTGACTTTTTTCCTGTAAACTCAATACAATGTCTCAGTTCATACATCTGTGAGATCAAAAATGCACTGTTCCAAAGCACTGGGTAGGAAATGTATAAAAAAATGCAGGTGTCTGAGCAACAGTTTGACAAGCAGAGAGACAAAAGGAACACAGGGAAAGGAACAGTGTCAGAGAAGTGTGAAGACAAAGGGTCTGGAGGCAAGGTTTGTGCTCAGTGTCATAGGGGAAATAGAAACTCTGCCGGTGTCAGCTTTCTCTCTATAATGCATCTCTGTCTCAATTCATGCTAAATAGATTGGCATGTACTGCTGACATGCCTATTATTTTACAAGCCATATGTTTTTTAAATACATATATAGATAATAGTACAGTTCAGTCCTTTAGCTAGATTATCAATAGGGCATAATGACAATCCACATATTTATAGATTTGGTTTATTTTAGTGTAACAGTGAGAGAAATGTTTTGTTTTCTGGAGGCTCTGGTGACTCCTCTAATGGAGCAGAGAGCACTGGTGTGTTAGTTGTCTCTTTCAGCTGCCAAGAGCTGTTTGGAGATTGAGTCACAGAGCTTAGGGAATGGCTCAATTTTATGCAAAGCAGGCATCTGCAATAAGGCAGATGAGCTGTGCTTGGAAGTACCTGCTTCTTCCAACTATAAGTTTTCATTTTGTCTTTAGGCTACAAATGGTTTAAGTTACACAGGTGAATCTCAGTTCAGGATACTCAATCTTTTTACCACTAATGCTGCTGTATTACTTAGCTAGCACAACAATATCCAGTTCTGCTCCTGGAAACAGAAATATTTCAGGGTAAAATTAATAAAATTTTAGTTACAGTTTGTCTAGCATCTTTAATATTGCTTTAATTAGTTTTAAGACAGAAAAAGTTCGCAAGCTTTGTATCTAGCCCCTGTAAGAGGAGAGGAGACAACAGCAAAACTTGTCCATCCAGCTTGTCATGTGCAATGTCTCACTTTCAAACTCAGTTGGCCAACACTCACCCAGCATATCAAGAGTGGCACATCAGGAATATCCACATACAAGGGCAGGTGTAGGTAACAGGTGTTGAAACTTGGTTGCACTGGGTTGTATATTCCACTATATGAAGGAGATACTACTAATAGCTTGGGCATGTGTGCATTTTCTGCCATAAATGGCAGTTTGCCAATCTCCAGGACTTGTTTAATACATTATCCTTCTGTCCCACAATGTTTATATCCCACTGCAAATTCTTTGTTCTGCTCCAGAAGTGCCTCCTCGTCTCCAGGCAGGCAAGTGGGCAGAGAGGCAGGTGGCAGCTGCAGACATCCCCTGTTGAACAGTGATCACTGTTCAAGCCCTTTGGACAGAGTGATGCACGAGCAGAATTCCCTCTGGGCTGAGGTTCAGCCCACCTGGGGTGACAGGATCTTGCTCTACCAGTCTGCATGTCCTTGATTTTGAAATAGATTTCTATCCAACAAATATAAATCCTCATCTGTGGAGCCTGGATACAGTTTCAGTGAGCTGTTTTGCTGAAAATAATTAATAAGGGCTGTACTGAAGTGCATGTGGTCTTAGCAAAACTCAAAATGTATATAAAAAAATATGTTTTCTACTTGTTTGGTTTAAAATCAGTTTAATTAAATAAATTCACATTTACACCTGATAAAGGCAAGATATAACTTCTATGTTTTATAAAAATAAAGTAAATTCATGTCTTAAGGTTATGACAATCTTATTAAAAATACAATTTATGGTTAAAATTTACCAATGTGTCTATATCCAGATGTTGAGAAATGCTTAAAACTTTGTATGCCAAGGCCTTAAGGATACCTTCATTCCATGCCTGCTCTTTTTGACCATACGTTTTTTCCAAGATGCAGTATAATTCCACATTTTAGCCAAAGACTCCAAACTCATGCTATATAGGCTGTCAGTTGATTCTCTGTCGTCCTGCTTTTCTGCAGCATGCCAACACTATTTCTTGCTCTCCAGCTTTCTTTTGGAGAGAAATTTAATTGCACTTGAATGCCTAGTCCCTGGACTGCTGTGTGGAGCCAGGTAGCTGAAGATCAGGAAGCCAGTCTTTGGAGTCCAAGATTGCAGCTGGAAGCTGCTGGAACAGACTAAACTAATAGGAGCTGTTAAAAAATAGAGCAGAGGCTGATACACATGAGCTGTAAAAGATTTTCTTCAAATTCTCTCTCCTGTAGAAAGAAGTAAGTGTAATCCTTGCTTTCTGGAAAATCTCATGAGATCCGAGATCTACAGGGATTTTTATTTTTTTAATTAAAAATAAAACATAATTGCTTGTGGCATCTGAGTGTTCTCCCATACAAGACAGTATATGGGGCTTCTTTGCAGTTTTTCTTTTGCTCCTGCTGAAATTGGTACAAAGTCACAGTTAATTTGGGTGGAAACAGAAGCTACACAAAGTTCAACTAGCTTTTCAGCTGAAAGCTCACAAGGATTTTATCACTGGTCAAAGCTTTCTTCCTGTCTACGCAGAATTTTCTATTAACCGTAAAAGCTGTATTTTTCCACACTGTCATATGTTCACAGAAATATTAGAACTGCCATACCTAATCAAACCAGTGGTCCATCTAGGCTAGTATCCTTGGCTCCAGATGCCCCAGGGGAAGGTGCAGGAAAATTCATATTGTCATCTCCCAGGGGAAGTATCTTCCTAATACAGTCTTTGACGAGCTATTGCCCTGACCATCAGTGCTCATAATTGTTATACACTTTTATCCTATCTAAGGGTTATCTATCATGTATGTCCTATTGTTTGAA